TGCTGATAGATGAGTGAGATGCCAGTACGACATACCAGTCTTATTGGTCAGTCTCCACCTTTGGTATATGGTGTGACAATAAGATTTACCATTGGATAAAGCCTCAAGAGTGCCAGAACTTCTATCCGTCATCTGATTATTTTTATTCAGTCAATACCTCAATACTTCTATTCTTCACTAAAGTCAAAGACATTTTCTTGCTATCCAATTAGCAAAAGGTTAGAAGGAAAGGGATAAATTCTTTCTTAATTCAAGGAAGAATCTTAGGGATTTCGTTCCCTAACAAATTCATTGTTCCATAAGGAAAGGAGAAGGTGCATGAGAAGCAACTGGGAACTGGAACACAAGGATGAAGACCCTTTTTGTGACAATACAGTTTTTCATGGGCATCTAGAGTAATGAACTCAGCACGAGGTTTAATGCCTCTTCTCCTCCAAGTTTGGGAACTAATTCCAGGTTGACTAACAAGCAAGAGCATTAATGTATCCATTATCCATATATACTACTTACCATAGATCTACCACATTCCCATGGTAACCCAAACTAAGGGCAATTTTATTCTTTCTTGCGTCTCTAGAATAGATTAAAAAGATTGGTTGAAGAAAATGCACCTCATGAATTCCATCTTCCAATGTACAAATCATACACAGAGTAAAACCGAGCAAAAAAAGTCTATATGTGGTTTCCAACACTCATCTAGGCAACAGATCTTTCAACCTTTATGTAATTGTTAATCACTGATTGCAGAAAGCTTGAGTGATGCTTCAAGTGTGACATTATTTGTAATTGCTCTATGCATATTCATGAAACTGAATGAAGACACATTTAACATATATAAATGATATGAAGAATTGGTAGTGGCTTGCAATAAGCATTAGTAGTCACTAATAATGATTGCTGCTGTTTGGAAGGATGGATTCACATTCAAAAGCAGACCTGGAATAAGAAGAGTTGTCCTTCAACCCCTTCTATATGCACACTAAAATGGCACAATGCAGAAAGATGCAAAGTGAGGATTAGGAAGCAGAGAGAAACTCACTGAATTATGTTACAAGTCATACCTAAGGCGAGCAATGCAATGGTCCAGGTTGTTAGAGATTTCCATCAGCCATCCCTGCTTGTGACGTTTCAGAAGTGCTGCTTCATCAACCTAAGAGAAATAGCAGACATCTTAAAACTCCTGCTTCCCCTATCCAGTCACTTTTACCTTTAGCTTTTCAATTAGTCTGCAAGAAAAAGTAACAAATAGGTAAAGGGAATAGCCCTGCCTTGTGATTGTTCAAATACTTATTTTTCACCTCTGATTTTTTTACACTTTCTGTTCTCTTTTACTCCAGGCTCAAAGCAAGAAAAAGACTTTTTGATACATCACTTCCCAAAATATTTTACAAGCCAAAAATTATCATTAAAATTGCACAAGAGGTAATACTTTTCCACCAATTTCAATTATTCTTGTTGTTTCTTTTCATGATTATATTGAAAAAAATGAAAGCCAAAATGTTTCCAATTTATTTTTCAAATCTGCCTATTTTCTGTGAAAATAAAATTTCTATTTAATTAAGGAAATAAATATTTTCTTTGATCAGCTCAGAGAGAGACATTTCTGCCAAACTGCCCAGGATGAAGCAATGGTTTGCTGAATAAAATTGACCCTCACTTTTGTTCTTCAACTGCTGTTTGAAAATCTCAACCAAATATGGAAAAGAAAAGATGAAAGAATTTTCTTGTCCCAGCTGGCTAATGCCTATGAAAAATTGAATGGATCAAAACAAAACTACGTCTTTAATTCCCTCTTGTTTGAACTTTGAAGCTCCAAACAAACCCAATCCTAAATCTGTACTCTCTTCTGGGCTCAGCTTCTGTGTGTGTCAGTGTGTATATGCATAAGAGACAGGATAAAAATATAACGGATAGACAAACTGTGAAGCCTTTGGCACAAATTCCATACTAATGGTTCAATGTACAAACTTGCACATCATTAAGACGTTTATAATGAGCTATCAGTGGCATAAAGCAAGTGGCAAAATTAATTCAAGACAATTTTCTGTGGTAGCAACAGATTTAAACACCCACAGTGGTATGTGTGCACAAGAACACATAACCTGAGTATCTTCTGGTATTTCATTAAAGCATTTTTACTTCTCTATAACCTACTCCTGTTGTTTTCATTCTATTATTTCTCATTAACAAAGTATTTATATGTAAATTAAATAAGTTCCGTATTCAGGAGTTGATTGAACACCAGGAAACCTTTTCTTTCCTAATTATTCTTAGCACGAGAAACCTTCCATCATTTTCCACGTCAGTAATAAAGACTATCCTTCCAAAACCCCAGATAATGATAATATCAGTGTCACTGAATGGAATTATTCAATAAAGTCAGGTGCCGTGGGGGACAGCTTCTTTGGGAGTTATTTAAATCAGTAAGGAGGAAAGTTATTAAATGGCCCATATGAATTACAGGAATTGGGTTCATTTAAAGCTCAGCATAACACAGATCAGATCTATTTAAATCTGTTACCACATCCTACATATTTTACTTCAGACCTCTCCAACAGTCTTAGTCTTTCACAGACTTGATAGCGTACTCAAGAAAACTAGCTTTCTTTGAACCACACTTTCAAAAATATGCTCATTTTTTGATCAGCATTTCACTAGTTTAAAAAATTGCACAAACATGATGAGTTAATGTCACCTTCCATGTAACCCTAGGGAGCTTAGTGCAGCTCAGAGGAGATAGTCTGGCCCTCCACACAGTTATTTAATAAAATTACAATCTGCTTCGTGTCAAACAGAAGAGGTAAAAGACTTGCACCATTAATCCCTTCTGTCTGAGCTTCGGAAGCCCTGGCTGACAAAATGACATCTCTTACACAATTCATCAGTGTCATTTGCATAAATAGTTCCTTAAATAAATAATATGTACATATATATAGCTCTCCACATGTGCTCCTGAGACTCATTTCCGACAAGGATCATCTCACAGGAGATAAAAACCAGGCAATATTCAGTCTCCCGAACAAAATCATCTGCAGCCGTAGAGATGAAAAGGACAAAGGACTGCTATGAATAGCTTTCACTGGAATCTTTCCTTTGTATTCTAGCATTTGAAAGATCATGATGACAGAGTAGAAGTCTGAATAAAGACAATTTATTCAATAATAATTTATTCAATAATAAATTGGATAAATTTATTTCATCTGCAGGGAGTACCTGATAAGATCTCAAATACATGCAAAACTCATGTGCTAACAAAAACACTTTGGTACCATCATTGTAAAACAGATGAAACCCTAACCTTCCCTGAGTAAGACCCGAGCTAGCCAGAGCAGGTCAGATTTACTGCATGCCACATGGGCAGTCTGACCTATTATGTTTTGAAGTTCAATTATAATTAACATGGGTCACATTGCAATATTCTTACCCTTTCCACTGCAGCAAGTGACATGCCTACAGCAGAGGTCTGCCAGCTAATTCTCTCTATAAACGCCTTTGGCTGAGAAGGCTAAACTCCCACTGGAGTTCGGTTCTCAAAATCTTTCTTCCTCTGGAGCAGTAACAAGAGCTCATCAGCTACAGATAATCAAAAGAGCTCAATGCATTTTGGTCAGTCCTATATCTGCTCCACCAAAAATGTTTCCCCAGTGTATTGAATTCAAAGATAGTCATGAGGAAAGAAATGCATGGAAGTGTTTATTGTTTCTCAAAAGTCAGTATCATTAATGAGATTCACTACCGTTTTCACAGAATTGCAGAGCAACATTTTCTGTTGAAAAATTGTTGTGTCCATCCTTCCATCTGATTTGTTAGAACAGAACACTATAATAAGCATAATAGCTGAAAAATGCAGGTATTAGGAGAACCTAATGTTACCTTTTTATATGAAAATGTATTATTTCACTCAAAACTTACAGGCATATATACATACCAAGATTATGACGTTGATGTTCCACATTATATATGATAGTTAAGGATATCTGTGAATCCAGTGTATCCTATCATACACTATTCCAATTGTTTGGACATTAGCAGTCTTTGAATCACAGATCATTATTAGATCCTCTTTGTTTATGGGAGGAAATAGTTGGGTTATTTTAACATATTTGGAACAGAGAAACATGACATCAGGATGAAATACTCTCTACAAAATATATGCTGTGGGTGAGCTTCAGAAAACAGCAAAAATGGTGATACAGAACTTCTCCATCATCAGCATTTTCCCTTAGAAGAACTTACCTTCATTGTCTACAAACTAGGATTCTCTTAAGTGCTTGTAATTAGCCTCACCATCTTCACACATAAGCCAACTTTAAAATTCCCAGTTTTACAAAACCCCATTGACTTCATAGAATCACAACACCAAGCAACTTCGTTAATCCCAATCTTGATGAGTGAATCATACCAACATTTTCAACGGGTACTTTCCATTGCACCTGATAAGGGTGCCAGAGGCATTAAAGATTAATTGTAATGTAACTACCTTTTTAACATAGACTTTTTTTGCATAAGAGGGTGCGGTTCCCATGGGAATTGCCTATGGAAGTTACACCCTTTCACACATGGAATGAGGGTAGCTCAAGCACTGAGAATGGCTCATCTGAGAGCATCATTCTGCATTATTTGTGAAGCAGTCTGATCCAGTGAGTGAACAAATAGATAGTGGAATAGCAATGAAAAATGCTCAACAGTGACAAGGACAGACAGATCTTAGAAAAGAGTATATTTTTTTGAGTTTGGCTTGTCAGGGTTACTTGAGGAACATGTCAGATCAGGGGAATGAGGGAAGTCAGGAGATTCAGCACATGATGGAGAGACGACAAAATGAAAGAAGCATTGCTCTCACCTCTGCAATGATCCCCACACACCCAGCAATGACTGCAGCCTTTGCTTGAGCCCCACTCATCCCTCCAAGACCAGAAGTAACAAACACCTTTCCAGACAGGTCTTCTGCCTTCAAGTAGCGACGGCCTGCATTGAGCACTGTGAGCTGCACACAACACAATATAGCAATTATCAGGAGCTATTTTTCCTAGAGTCCCTGAAATTTAAAGATCTTCTGTCCCTTTTGCAAACAGAGTTTGAAACTCGGAGGTTGCTGGGACCATGAAACTGTTTTAATCCTTTAAGAAGGAAACATGTTATGAAACCATCTATCCTGATTATGTTTATTTCTCTCACCATGAAATAGAATAGAATAATCAGTGGTTCCCAACATGCTGCTCTTGGGGTGTAGAGACTTATTCAGGATGGCTGCAAAAGACAGCTGAGGAAGACAGCTAAGAAAACAAGCTAAGAAAATGTCAATTCATACTTCACTTATTGTAGCTATATATGAGCTCAGATTGAGGCCTTGACTGCAGATTCCTTCAGGTTTGCGTTCTGGATAAGGTGCCATCTGAGTGGAAGGACACTAATTTTTTAAGGAACAGGCAATGAGAATTTCTTTGGTAGCCAGAACATTCTCTTATAGCAATCCAATCCACTCCAATAACCAGCCACTGCAGGAGATACCCTCCTCCAAAAGGCATCCCCAGTTTCTTACCACAGTCCCATGGACTATTCCCTGAGGCCCAATGTAGCAGTAGCTTCCTGCAGTCATCTGACCATACCTAGTAATAGCAACAAACACAATGATACCACATGTTACTCAGGCTGGAATGAATTCTGTACATGTCTACATATGTTTCCAGTATAACAAAAAAGTCTCTGTGCTTCGATTTGTTGTTAAAGATCTGCTATTATCAAATTCACAGCTTAATTGAGTTTCTTCATTAGCAATGCACCAACATGTTTTCAGAGTATTTAGCTCATTAAATTGAGTTAAAAAATGCACGGATCAAAAACCTGAGTGTAAACTTGTCTTGGCCTTTAGCATAGTTACTAGGACACAAGGACACTCCTTTTCACCTTGTTGGCATCTTTATGCCATTGGGTTTCAGTGGCACATGTGCTTCTAAGTCATATAGTCACTTTGGAAATTGTTAGCCCAAAACTGTTGTCCACATTCCTATGAAATTCCCAGGAAAGTGGTAATGGATATTGTCTATTCATGCCCTTTCATTTCTTCCAGCTTCCTTATCTGTACACACGCAGCTCTCCAGTGGGTTTAATTTATTCTCTCCATGGTACACAACAGAATAATAATCCTGTGCTCATCAACTAGATCACGCCTGAGGGACAGGATGCCATCCAG